GTTAAGTCTGTTGCTCTGATCTACAGAGGTTTGTAGAGGATGATGATTCCAGTCGTTCGTTTTGACAAGGGAGACACAGGCACAAACCTATAAGTTAAGTCTGTTGCTCTGATCCACAGAGGTATATAGAGGATGATGATTCGTTAAGTCTGTTACCCTAATGAACAGAGGTATATAGAGGATGATGATTCCAGTCGTTCGTTTGGACAAGGGAGACACAGGCACAAACCTATTAGTTAAGTCTGTTGCTCTGATCCACAGAGGTTTGTAGAGGATGATGATTCCAGTCGTTCGTTTGGACAAGGGAGATGCAGACACAAGTCTATTAATTAAGTCTGTTCCTCTAATGAACAGAGGTATATAGAGGATGATGATTCCAGTCGTTCGTTTGGACAAGGGATACACAGGCACAAGTCTATTAGTTAAGTCTGTTGCTCTGATCTACAGAGGTTTGTAGAGGATGATAATTCGTTAAGTCTGTTCCTCTAATTAACTGAGATGTACAGGGGACGATGATTCATTAAGTCTGTTCCTCTAATTAACAGAGGTATATAGAGGATGATGATTCGTTAAGTCTGTTCCCCTAATGAACAGAGGTATATAGGGGACGATGATTCCAGTCTTTTGTTTTGACAAGGGAGACACAGGCACAAACCTATTAGTTAAGTCTGTTAGTCTGTTCCCCTAATGAACGGAGGTATATAGAGGACGATGATTCGTTAAGTCTGTTCCCCTAATGAACAGAGGTATATAGGGGACAATGATTCGTTAAGTCTGTTCCCCTAATGAACAGAGGTACATAGAGGATGATGATTCGTTAAGTCTGTTCCCCTAAAGAACAGAGGTATATAGAGGACGATGATTCGTTAAGTCTGTTCCCCTAATGAACAGAGGTATATAGGGGACAATGATTCGTTAAGTCTGTTCCCCTAATGAACAGAGGTATATAGGGGACAATGATTCGTTAAGTCTGTTCCCCTAATGAACAGAGGTATATAGGGGACAATGATTCGTTAAGTCTGTTCCCCTAATGAACAGAGGTATATAGGGGACAATGATTCGTTAAGTCTGTTCCCCTAATGAACAGATGTATATAGGGGACGATGATTCCAGTCTTTTGTTTTGACAAGGGGGACACAGGCACAAACCTATTAGTTAAGTCTGTTGCTCTGATCCACAGAGGTTTGTAGAGGATGATGATTCCAGTCGTTCGTTTGGACAAGGGAGACACATGCACAAACCTATTAGTTAAGTCTGTTGCTCTGATCTACAGAGGTATATAGAGGATGATGATTCCAGTCGTTCATTTTGACAAGGGAGACACAGGCACAAACCTATTAGTTAAGTCTGTTGCTCTGATCTACAGAGGTTTATAGAGGATGATGATTCCAGTCGTTCGTTTGGACAAGGGAGACACATGCACAAACCTATTAGTTTAGTCTGTTCCTCTAATTAACAGAGATATACAGGGGACGATGATTCGTTAAGTCTGTTCCCCTAAACAACAGAGGTATATAGAGGATGATGATTCCAGTCGTTCATTTGGACAAGGGAGACACAAGCACAAACCTATTAGTTAAGTCTGTTCCTCTAATTAACTGAGATCTATAGGGGAAGATGATTCAAATTGTTTGACAAGGGAGATGCAGACACAAGTCTATTAATTAAGTCTGTTCCTCTAATTAACAGAGGTATATAGGGGGTGATGATGGGAGACGTAGACACAAGTCTATTACATTCACTCCCCAACCTCTAATGTCATCTTTCGCTTGTATAACAAGTATACATTGTGTAATCCTTAGATTTCTTTGTATATTCTTGGAGGTATCAGATACAGAACATCTGCTGATAATATAATTTGAATGATAGTGAGATGTTTTAGGTATACATTTGGACGCCTGTTTAATGTCATATTGTCTGCTTCCTTACAGAAAGTTTACTGTGAATTTAACACCAAGACTGAAGCTTGTCCCCACCAGTTAATGTGGTAGGTATCTCTAAACGTGGGTGTCATTGTAAACATGTACAAGCCTAATTTAATAAACATGTACATAGTACTTTCAATGTATATTTCACATACCGGTACCATATTCTTTCTGTTACATCAAATTAATGTGATTGATAAATAGAGGATCTTACATGAGTGTCCATAAAGGCTCGTGTCATATCAAATTATTGAACAAGTTTTATAAATTCAATATGACATGAACACAAATGTAAGATTCTTTTTATCACATAACACAAATAGTTTGAACAAAAAAATTAAACATAATTATGTGTTTTCAGCTGACTCCATAAATGTAATGACCTTGATCTTATGGATAAAGGATTAGAGTTTAGGGAGCTTTTATGGCTACCTTAATGCATTGGCATAGATGTAAATACATGACCTTGACCTTTCAGGTGTGGTATTGGAGCAGTGGTGGCCATGTGGGGTACTCTAATGGTAGTTGTGGGACCACAAAAAGACTGGATACGGTATCCTTACACTAGTGTATTGTGATGTCTGTCAAGTGGAAGTATTGCAGTTATGTCCATTTGGTTGTTTCTAATGAGAGAATAAATTGATCAGAGTATTAATGCTATAGTTGGGTAAAGTAGAGCGTTTTGACAATCAGACACAATTTTCATCATTACTTATCAAGGATGTGAAAATTAAATTTTTATACCGGTAACTCGAACACTGACTATTTTTCTGGTCACTTTGATTGAGTTCAACTTGAGCTGGTTTTATTAGCTCACCTGGCATGAAGTGTCTGTGAGCTGATGGTATGGTATGTCGTCCGTCCGGCATCAGTCAACTTAATCTTTGAAAGACTTCTTCCTAAGAACTGGAGGACCTAGGGTCATGATGAATTTGCCAGTAGGTACTTGGGATGAGTGATGTAAAGTTTCCTCAAATAAATGACCTTGACCTACTTTCAAGGACATAGGTGTCAAATATGTAAAAACATCTTTAGACAATTTCTTCTGAATAACCAGGAGGCCTAGAGTGCTAATAATTTGCCAGTAGGTACTTAAGATGGAGTGCTTTAAAGTTTCCTCCAACAAATGACCTTGACTTACTTTCAAGACAATAGTGGTCAAATATATAAAAAAATCTTTCAACTACTTCTCAATATCCAGGAGGCGCCAGGGTGATGATGTTTGGCAAGTAAGTACCTGGAATGTAGTGCTATGAAGTTTCCTCAAATGGATGACCTTCACCTACGTTGAAGATCACAGGGGTCAAATATGTACAATCCTTTTAAAAACTTTTTCTGAATAACCAGGAAGCCCGGATGATTATATTTGACCACTAGCAGCTTGAATAGAGTTGTATAAAGTTTCCTCCTATAAATGACCATGACCTACTTTTAAGGTAGTGTTATTGGATTTAGGTTTAGTTTTTGATAGCTATTTTTAGTTTGATGGTGGTCAGTTTCTTAACGTGTGGTCAGATACAACTTTGAGTCCCCAGCCCACTTAGTACAAGAGATGGATGGTACAAGGATTATCAGTAATTACCAACACGAGTTCCTTCACAAAGTACCCGGTAAGTAGTCAAACTGTTATCTTCTGTGTACAAGTTGATAAAAAATAGGTTTGTATGTTTGTTTGAGTCCGCTTCACTACCGAGTAGTTTGGTTATCCAGCAGACGAAGATAAATAGGTCATGAGGTGAACTCTTCATATGAACTTAAAGTAGGTCATGCTGTGACCTATTTGTATGTCTGACCTTTCTGAAGAGAAGGTCATGCTGTGAACTTCTTTTTGTATGTTTGACCTTTCCTGAACGGTTCTATAAAAGCAATCATTGGTAAATAGAAACTAGATACTAGATGTGATAATTAATCGAGAATTGCGGCTATTCTTATAATTCTGAAATATATCATGCATTGTGCTTGAATGTTTACCCTTTTATCACAGAACCATCAACTTTATTGTATGCAGCAAATTATTAAACTTCTCAAAGTGAGATCAGTTTTCATGCAAGACATCATTTCATAATACAAATTGGACTTTGAAAAAAATATTGCAATTTTATCTTCGTTGTAAAGGTATCTGAAAATAACCATGGTCGTATGACAGAAATGAAACTTTGGCTTTTTTGAAATAAACATGTTAATACTCCTGTATATTAGTACATATCATCAGTGTTTGATGTTTTCACAATGCCCTAATTACTGATTGTGTATATAATATGATGTATGTCTTGTTTCAGAGGTAACAGAACACATATTTAAGATAGGTTCTATGGAGCCGGGGGCAATGCTGTACGAAGCTTCTCGAGAATTTCATGTGAGTTTAAAAAAACCCTGATTCAGATGTGTATCTGATTGGGTAATCCTTTCTCCCGTTATGTTGGGGTCCTACTACTGTAGTCATTGACATATAAATTCTACAGAAATATTCATAACAAATTATTACAGATTTCTGTAGATACAAGATCTCTTGTGATTAAGGTGTATCATCACAGGTTGGACATGAATTCTAAAGGATTTGAAACTGTTTGAACCCTTTTATGTGCTAGTAGTATAGGTTTAACAATCCGCAACCTTTTTAATGACTAGATGCTCTTAAACACGGGTACAAGGTAGTCGTTGTTGAATCTCTCACTTGCCCGCAAGTATATTTGAATAACTATTTATCCAGCAATAAGCCCATGCCTGGTAATAAGCCCATGCCTGGTAATAAGCCCATCCATATATATATTGCAGATCAGTAGAAGTGCCAACAAATGCTTTTCCATTGTCCTGTTAAAATCATATCCCCCTTATTGGAACAAAGATAATAATTTGGTCTCCTGGGCATATTCAAGAATAAATATGGTAGTACACTTTTGCATGTCATATAGAAATGATTACCCTTGTGACATTATATACATGTTGTTACAGAAAGGATCTCAGAAAGCTGACGAGTACATCCGTATGATCAAAGATAAGCTAGAGGTCGCAGTCAACCAGTGTATAAAGGCCGCAGGGTTTGAAATAGAAACGGACAAACAGAAAGCCCTACTCAGGGTAAGTAGACTGGGGGAAAGTTTCTGGCAGCTTCATTAATACATTATCACCTGTGGTGATAAAAACAATTTTGCAGATACTAAATTTGTCTCTTGAGTATAGTGCTGATCAAGGCGAGTTGGTTAAATTGTATACAAATTGCTGTACAGTAAAACTTTGTTATACGTGCTACAGTTTGTCCTGTGAAATTTTAGTGTCATGAGCTATAGAAAGGAGTTATTAAGGAAAAAAGGAAAATGCAACCTTGAAACATGTTGACCAAGATGGGAAATTAATCATGGGTATTATATTGAATTTTTACCGATGTATATAAGTAGCAATGTAAAAGTGTTACTGTACTGTTGATTGCAGTGTCATTGCAAATTAGAAAACTGTTCATGTTAAATACCAGTAAACAACAAAAATTCTCCTGTCGTACAGCAGCAGTAATGTTGTTGATATGATTCCAGGCAGCGACATTCGGAAAGTGTTTCCTGACCGACTACAGCCCCGAGACGTTTGTCAACATGTGTCAGATGCTGCGTGTCATCAACCAAGTGCGCCACCATAAGATCGGCATTCCCATTACCTACACACAGTATCCTTGTGAATATTCCTTTTATCCAGGAATTCATCGAGAAGAAGAATTATACTTTCATTGTTATCACAAGACAAAGAGTTTTACAAAGACATACTGAAAAGCCAATTCTTTCTGGTTTTGATTTGATCATAGTTTAACTAAAATTTGTATGAAGCATGCTTGTTGTATGTAGATATGTGAACAGGTTGTAAATAACAGAGGGTCTCTGTTTGGGCCCTGGGAGGGGCCATAAGTGTAATATTTTTATGGAATAAATTCACACAATTAACTTTTAGGGTATTGTGACTTTCCATGTCAAAACTTTCAAATTTCATTTAGTCTTTTTATATTTTTTTGAGCAGGTAGTTCCACTAATAACATAAATGCTACCATTGTAGATATTTGGTTATTTGACTTTATTAGCTTTTTTTTATTTTACAAGGGAAGGAGAAAGAACTTCACAAAAACAAACCTCCAATTATTTTTTGTTTTCAAATCAGAGATGTATTTTTTTTATTTTTATTTTTTATTATTTTCACATATTAAATAAAAGCCTCCCTAACTCGGTATTAGATTAGAGCACCTGTCTATGGCTGTAATGATTGACAGACTAGTCCTCAGGAAGATGTTCCATCTTGCCATCAAACTCTGTCAGTACCTGAAGATCCCGGACCAGGAGGGGGCTAGTCGTATTCTGGCTCACTGGGCCTGTTACAAAGTAAGCTATATGTTAATGATTTGAATTATGAATTAATGCCACCATAATACTATTTAAATTTTCAAAGGTAGAATTAAAGGTAGTATAGATGCGAAGTTTGGAAATGTGAAGAAATGTGAAGTTTGGAAATGTGAAGTTTCCATTATAACCATATTTTCTCATGTGTATGTATATTTGTTTTAGTGAAAAATAATTTTTGTACAATTTTTTTTACCAACTTCTTTATGAACAACTTAACATTCAATTTTATTTCAATTATATTTTTAGTGATATTATTGTGCTATGCAGCATGCTGAACATTTACATACATTGTACATGTAACTCTTAATATGGTATTTCCAAGAAATGAGTTAACATTGAAATGGATATAAAGATTAAAGGTGGCTGTAATGGTGTTGTCCTTTTACAGGTAAAACAGAAGAATGAAGACGATGAGACAATAGCCAGGGCCGTCGCTCAGAAACTTGGCGATACCCCTGGTGTGTCCTACTGTGATATAGCTAGCCAAGCTTTAGAATGTGGCCGTACAGACCTAGCCATACGGGTAAGTGTAGGGGAATCACGATATTCTATATCTCTGACACTTATTGTTGAAGCAGTAATTCTTGATATATGTACTTACTGATGCATTGTACTTTCAAATCCCTTAAAACTGTAAACCTTTTTTACTTCTTAATACAAAATGTATTGGCAAAATAATTAAATAATAGCCTGCTTTACTATAAAATGACAACTTATAATGATACAGGTGGAAAAAGATTCACAGTAGCAATGATGTGCTTACATATTTTGTACTTTCTATGTTAAGCTGCTGGACTTTGAGCCCCGGGCAGCTCAGCAGGTTCCTCTCCTGATGAAGATGAGCAAGGACCAATTGGCCCTGTCTAAGGCTATAGAGAGTGGGGACACTGACCTCGGTATGTCACAAGGACCAATTGGCACTATCTTAGGCTATAGAGAGTGGAGACACTGACCTCGGTATGTCACAGGGACCAATTGGCCCTGTCTAAGGCTATAGAGAGTGGGGACACTGACCTGGGTATGTCACAAGGACCAATCGGCCCTGTCTAAGGCTATAGAGAGTGGGGACACGGACCTCGGTATGTCACAAGGACCAATTGGCCCTGTCAAAGGCTATAGAGAGTGGGGACACGGACCTCGGTATGTCACAAGGACCAATTGGCCCTGTCTAAGGCTATAGAGAGTAGGGACACTGACCTGGGTATGTCACAAGGACCAATTGGCCCTGTCTAAGGCTATAGAGAGTGGGGACACTGACCTCGGTATGTCACAGGGACCAATTGGCCCTGTCTAAGGCTATAGAGAGTGGGGGACACTGACCTCGGTATGTCACAAGGACCAATTGGCCCTGTCTAATGCTATAGAGAGTGGGGACACTGACCTCGGTATGTCACAAGGACCAATTGGCCCTGTCTAAGGCTATAGAGATTGGGGACACTGACCTCGGTAAGTCACAGGGACCAATCAGCCCTGTCTAAGGCTATAGAGAGTGGGGACACTGACCTCGGTATGTCACAAGGACCGATTTGCCCTGTCTTAGGCTATAGAGAGTGGGGACACTGACCTCGGTATGTCACAAGGACCAATTGGCCCTGTCTAAGGCTATAGAGATTGGGGACACTGACCTCGGTAAGTCACAGGGACCAATCAGCCCTGTCTAAGGCTATAGAGAGTGGGGACACTGACCTCGGTATGTCACAATGACCAATTTGCCCTGTCTAAGGCTATAGAGAGTGGGGACACTGACTTCGGTATGTCACAAGGACCAATTCGCCCTGTCTTAGGCTCTAGAGAGTGGGGACACTGACCCCGGTATGTCACAAGGACCAATTCGCCCTGTCTTAGGCTATAGAGAGTGGGGACACTGACCTCGGTATGTCACAAGGACCAATTCGCCCTGTCTTAGGCTCTAGAGAGTGGGGACACTGACCCCGGTATGTCATAAGGACCAATTCGCCCTGTCTTAGGCTATAGAGAGTAGGGACACTGACCTCGGTATGTCACACGGACCAATTGGCCCTGTCTAAGGCTATAGAGAGGGGGGACACTGACTTCGGTATGTCACAAGGACCAGTCGGCCCTGTCTAAGGCTATAGAGAGTGGGGGACACTGACCTCAGTATGTCACAAGGACCAATTGGCCCTGTTTTAGGCTATAGAGAGTGGGGACACTGACCTTGGTATGTCACATGGACTAGATGACACTGTCTAAAGCTGTAGAGGGAAGGAATACTGACTGCAGTACATCACATACAAGTAGACCTGCGTATAATGACCAGTCTATTGACTAACAATCACTGGTCATGATTTAGGGTTCACTCTTTATAAAGTATAGGGCTGTAATTTCAGGAAAAAAATCTGGTATTTAATAATTTTACACCTAATATATTGTCAAAAACTGTTATCCTGGATTTTAATGTCTTTTCCAGTTTATATAATGACTAAAGTAATTCGTTGTCTTGACTTTTCTTCAGCTATAACTTTTATATTCTATATTTGACTAAATGTGCTTTTGAAGTTACTTAGGGTATAAAATTTAAAAAGAACATTGGTTTCTCTATTTTGTATTTGTAGAGATCAGTTAACAGTAATGAATATCCAGCCTTAACTGATGGTACATTTGATCATTGTCTTGGTGTAAATGTATGTATTTTTTACATGATGTTACATCCTCTATATCCAGGGGTTACGCTTACTTTTGCTCTCTACACCCCTGGATTATGTCATAGCAAAATTGAAGGCACGAAGATAACTGTTCGATTGGTGACAGGTAAAAAAAACTGACCAATCGCTAGACAGATACCTGTCCTTTGAAGATAACAAAGGAGAGACGCCCAACTCCAAAGCCTGTCATTTTTTACCATGACGTGAATGCGAGATTCTTTTGATGTTCATCAAAGGATCAAACTAGTATTCTTGTCTCATCAACAAGGTGGTACACACTGAGCCTTCAATTTTGCTATGACATATTCCAGGGGTGTAGAGAGCGAAAGTGAGTGTAACGCCTGGATATCCAGGATGATGATGTTTTGACTGGAGCTTGGTGTATGATTATTAGATATACCGTGTGATGTTTAAGGTTGTATGTTACTTTGACACAGTTTACACAGTGCTACTGAAGCTGAAGAATGACATGAAGGATGGGGATTTCTTCATGGCCATCAGAAACATGCCCATAGCCTATTCTCTCTTCATACAGGTAAACTCTTTAAAACAACTCTATATAATGACTTTATATAATGGCTATGATGTTTGTATGGAAAACAAATGTAAAAGAATATTTCACTGAAAATTATGAAAGTTTTGTTGTTGAACAGGAAACCACATTTAACACTGGTCAGAGAATTGGTAAAATTCAAAACTGAGTACCCGCTAAATTGATTTTGACACTCATGGGTGAAATGTTTGTAAGGAGCAAAACTTCAGCAAATCTTTAAAAAATTTTTTTTTTACTGCAGAGTCGATTTTCATGTTTTTGTAGATTAAAAACCTGAGTGTAAAACTGTAAATGTATTGTATTATTTTCATGTATTGTTTTTATACACTGTTATATCAACCCTTTCACCACTGTAGACCACAATGAATGCATCCAGATCAATGCATGGTAGAGTCTACTAAAGTTACATAGGGTTGAAAGGGTTAAAAAATTGTCACAATACTTTAAGGTTAAGGGATTTCCTAGAATTTAGCATTTAGAAGGTGCACTGAAATGATGTGCTTCGACATTTCAGTACTGTCGCCACCAAAACCCTCAGATGATGGAAGATCTGTATTACCAGGAGGATAACTTTGTAGAGGAGGCCAACTGTAAGGTTGTCAAGAGTTTTGATGATGAGGTAAGTATGATTCAAGGTTATCAAAGAGTTTGATGATGTGGGTAGTGTGATGTCAGGTTTTCAAGAGTTTTGATGACGTAGAACTGATGTGAGCTTGTTAAGAGTGTTGATGAACTATGGCTGATATAAGGTTGTCAAGAGTGTTGATGATGAGGTAAGTCTGATGCAAGGTTATCAAAGAGTTTGATGCTGAAGTAAGTGTGATGTCAGGTTTTCAAGAGTTTTGATGCAGTAGAGCTGATGTGAGCATGTTAAGAATATCGATGAATTAGGACTGATATAAGCTAGGTTTTCAAGAGTGTTGATGATGAAGTAAATCTGATGAATTTGTCTATAACATTAAACGGTAGAACCTACAATCTAAAACAACTTCCTATATATCTAAGTTGCTTGTTCCAACATAATCACCACTATATTACGGTATGTCAGCCCATGCTACCTTTACTAGCAGGACACTTTCTGTAGATTTAAAATTTAATTTTTGATGTCAGATACGTTATCTTGGTTTTGAGCTTATTTAATGCACTGTTTGTATGATTTTAGAGGCTGGAGGACAGATGTGAAACTTTAAAACAAGCCATGAACTGTTATGCTAGAGCTAAGAATGAATTTGCTGTGAAGGTAATTCTCAAATTTCCCTTTTGTTTGATTAGGAAATTAGGACTTTTAAAAATACATTGTGATACAAAAAGCAATGACACAAATTAATGAAGTCTTTATATATGAATGTTTTTCAATTTAAAACTCAAATTTTGATTCCAGTAAGGGATGCTTTGACAAAAATCTCACCAGTAGGAGAGAAATCTCCTTATTATGCGTTCTTAAGTATTCACATGTACGACTGAACCCTTTATAGATCCAGACAAATATGAAGATCCAAGTCATAACCTGTTTTGACACCTCACACTGTTAGTGTATAGATTTTTTTCTTTCTAAAGCAAGTGTTGTGTTACAAATAAGGTATATAACAGTTGTTGATATGACCGTTATTATGTATTACAGCAAACAGATGACCAGATTAAATTGCTTAAGTACCAGCGACGGATGGAGGAGGAGTTTAACCGTCCTTATATGGACCTGTCGCTGCACCAGACCATATATAGACTTATCGTGGAGAACAGCCACAAACCTGCTGAACAGCTACGCAAGGAATTCAAGGTCCCCGAAAGGAGGTAAAGTTTAACACAGTGTCATAGGGAAACATCCATTCATTTTATCAGTAAATACTTAACTGTAATGATCATTTCATATAGACAGTGTGGTTCTTTCATCATTAGTTTTGAACAAACTGTACCAGGTATGAAGTGACAGCTTCGATGGGTGTAACCCTCCTAACATATTAGGACAAACCTCCTGTTTGGTTTGCTTTTAAAACTTTCAAAATCTATTTCCATAAAATATGAACAATTTAAAGGGTCCCAGTACCATTGCCTAAAACTGTAACTATGGGAACTTTTTTTCTTGCATGCCTTCAGCTTGGATAAATCCTTCCTGAAAAGAAAACCGTACCTCGTGGGATGTTTATGAGAAATAATCAAGATGAAATAAACAAAATATAATCAACAACATTGTTCTGAGTGTTAAAAGAACTATTTTTGTTTGATTGTTTGTTTAGGTTTAACAACCCATCGACAGCTGTGGTCATNTAAAAAGGGAGTTAAAATGATAAAAGAGATAACGAATAGATGATATGGACTATGTGATACGTATAACGTCAAAAAGGGTAAGGTGGGTTAAAAGACATCAGAGTCTATAGAATAGACCGATGTTTTTCAAATAGTTAAATAATGCCTTCGAGTCCACAGAACTGAAAAGAGTTTTCATATCCGTGACTCGAAAGTAGTTATTGCGAATGTGTTTAAAATCGGAACATTCTATTAAAAAATGTTCCACTGTAAATGGAGTGTCACATGCGTGGCATGAAGGTGGATCTTCTCGTTTTAAAAGGTACGAATGTAGTAGGATATGTGTGCCCAGTACGGAGCCGAGCGAGGACAACTTCCTCTCTACGATCTTTCCGACTTGGAGTAGATGTTTTAAGTTTCGGTTGTACTTTAAAAAGTTTGTTGCTGGTCTCGAGAGACCAGCGTTGCTGCTATTCATTTTTAATTGCTGTACGAATAATTGGTTTAAAATCTGTATATGGTCGTTTGATATTTGTTTGTTGGAGATTCAATGCATTCTTTGCTTCTGTGTCATCAAATTCGTTGCCTTTAATTCCGACATGGCTCGGAATACACAGTAAAGTTATTTTTAGACTTTTTTAAGATACGAACACTGCGGGGCTAGACCGGATTTGAACCCTGACCTTCAGACTGATGAATGATCTCTCTAGGCAACCAATTAATTGTACTACAGTTACAGCCAAACTGAAGTAAAGGGGAGGTTACTGCATTCAGGGAAAACCACAGTGCAGACGCATAGGGATCTTTAAGTATTACTTTAGCAAATGGAAGAAATGAAAAATTAGCAAATCCTAAGAGAATGATCTCGAGGTAACTTTATTTCTCATTGGCAGGAATAAATAACCATAAAATGATGAGTTTAAAAGGCATTTCATCAATAGATTATTATTTTAAAATTAATTAATCCTTATCTTTAGCGTTTAGATTAAAAAAACCGCTCAAGTCTATTTTCTCTGCATATTTTCACTGATGTGATAAATATCCTTGTTATGTTTTTGTGCTGTTGGATTGCTCTCTCTATATGTATGTGTTACTTGTAGGTACTGGTGGTTGCGAATGCACGCTCTTGGAGAAGCTGGTGAATGGGCAGAGTTAGAGAGATTCTCAAAGTCCAAGAAACCTCCCGTAGGGCTAGAGGTAACAGGACTCATCCAAATTTTATGACCAGGGACCCGTTCATTTACCTTGAAATGTAATGTTTCAGGGATAAAGCCTGACTGACCTGTCAATGTTATAAACTCAGGCCTTGAAATTCTTCATCGTAGCTCGCTAGAAATCAAGGTCAGATCACCGAGTCTGTCTCGGTTTCATAAACGATCAACTCTGGTCCAACCTGTCGAACCGTTCGGGTTCTGAAAACGAAAATGGCCTAGATCAGGTGTACATGTTAAAGAAGGATTTCTTTTGGTTTTTGGCAGTAGTTCTTTTTTTGAGATATTTAGGTATTACATATAGTTCACTTTAAGGAGATTCTAAACTTAATATAGATACAAACAATTTAAAAAAAATCTTTTGCTGGAAATCTGCAAATGCCGCAGCTTTTCATATGTTGAAAGTACTAGGTATGAAAAAAGTATAAAGTTGTTCATATCATATCCCTTGGACCAAAAATGAGGCTACACCTAGAGGTCAAATTTTATCATTGTTATGATGGGAAGCCATTTTATTTTTCATTTCGTTTCTGTTGCAGGCCTTTGTTGAAGTATGTTCCAAGCACAAGAATGTGGCAGAGGCCATGAAATATATAGCCAGAGTTCAACAAGACCAGAAGGTCAAGTGTCTGCTGAAGATTGGGTAAGGCCATAGTAACATAGAGATTTGTGTGGTGTCTGTTTGAAATAAAGTTTTAATCCTTCAAAGACAGAGTGTAGCAACAGGCTTTTCAAAGTGTGGAGTTTCTTGTCCGGATCAAACTTACGCTCTTAACTGCACTGTGAAACTATAGACAGGTGAGAAGTAGGGTAGGATGTTTTGTCAGTTCTTCGATAAGATGAGATGTTTTATTGCAGTAGTGGGAAGTATCAAAGGGTGACATTGTTCTCGTCTATTGAAAGAATTATCAATAAAATGATGTCTAGTGAAGTTTCTTATTTGCTAAATTTACTGGGATAGATATTGGTAATTTTTTTTCTCTCAAATCTTTCATTGAAAAGGTTTATTATTAGTTTTCCTTCTTTTAAATTAAAATCTATCAAAAATCCTTTAATAATCTAATTTTACAGTCAGAAGAAGTCTGCTGCGGAGGCTGCGTTTGAGAATCACAGTGAAGAGGAACTCAACCTAGTGTTACAGAAGTGTGGGGCAGCTGACAAACAATTGGTCGAGAATATTCGCGCAATGAAACAACAACTTGGTGGCCGTAGATAACAGGACACGGGGGTACGGTGTTAGGGTGGGGGCAGAAAGCAGGACTCGGGGGTACAGTGTTAGGGTGGGGGCAGATAGCAGGACTCTGGGGTGCGTGTTAGGGGGGGGGCAGAAAGCAGGACGGGGGGGTACAGTGTTAGGGGGGGGGCAGATAGCAGGCCTCTGGGGTGCGTGTTAGGGGGGGGGCAGATAGCAGGCCTCTGGGGTGCGTGTTAGGGGGGGGGCAGAAAGCAGGACGGGGGGGTACAGTGTTAGGGGGGGGGCAGAAAGCAGGACGGGGGGGTACAGTGTTAGGGTGGGGGCAGATAATGGGGCCCAGTGCTGGGAGATTAACAGTACAGATAACAGGTCTTGGGGATGGGGATGAATAGTTGGAAGTCTAGGACATGGGACTGGGCTGATCACATGGGACTGGGCTGATCACAAGTCTTAAGTGGTAGGGGTCAAAATCAACACTCAAAAATGAACTCAACAAACCACAGAAAGTGATTTGTGTCGTTTTGGAAATTTAATAGAACAGAATTAAAAAAAAAAAAATTCTGATGAATTTTGAAGACATTATCAGTTGCCTAAATTAAGTCTTTCTGAGGTCACAACCAGTTATGGAAGTACGTAAATTCCACAGACTCTATGACTTACACGACCTTGGTGTATTACATACAATGAAAAGGACATCGGGGATTTGTGCAATGGCTGAAATTATTAACTCAAGAAGACAAAGTGCTTTCTTCTTTAAGGAATGGTTACCTTGTATTAGAAGTGGGTAAATGATTATACCCAACAACAAAATTAACAGGGGACGAGTGGATATAATGGAATCAGCCTGTCTGTCATTCTATAGGCACGATCTCACCCGTAAAATTCATCCTCGATATCCAGGGGTTACGCTCACGTACGATCTCTGCACCTCTGGAATATGTCATAGCAAAATTGAAGGCTGTTGGATTGGTCTCAGTTAAAACAAAAACTGACCAATCGCTAGGCTGATACCTGTTCTTTGAAGATTACAAACGGGCGACACCCGACTTCAAAGTCAGTCAACTTTTACCGCTAAACGACCGCGATATTCTTTTGATGTCTTCTGGTCTCATCAACAAGGTGGTGCACACAGCCTTCAATTTTGCTACGACATATTCCAGGGGTGCAGAGAGTAAAAGTGAGCGTAACCCCTGGATATCGTGGATGATAAATACTGACCCTATGTTTGTAATTTCCTTGAAAATTTGTAAGCTTAGGTAACTTTAGTAGACTCTACCATACATTAATCTGGATTAGTCCATTATGGTCTACATTGGTGAAAGGGTTAAGCATTAACTGTCATATGAATGTTTCAGGGAAGGCACACGTACATGTGAACATGAATCTGCAAATTCATATGTTAACAAGCGTTTTCATGCATAGTCTTTATTGACTTGCATTTGATATAATATAGACTGAACGTTTCTGACTTGTTTGTTCCGTACGTTTTAAATTGTGTATTTAAGTTAAAATGAAATTCTGGGAGAGTGAGAATGTGTTAGGTAAGAGGGGGGTAAGAGGTAATGGTGTGTTTTATAATTGAGTTTATGTAAGAAAATATTGACGCTAGGTAATAAAATTCATACTTATACCCTTTTTCTTGTGTTGTTGCCGTTTGTTTAATCAACTTCTATGTTCAAGATTTGGTCATCACCGACAAAATCAAATGACATTTCCCTGTTATAAGCTGCTATTTTTACACTCAAATCAGTGATGAGAATACTTGTATAGGTAGTAGCCCCTGGAGAAACAACAGATATAGACAATAAAGTCCCACATGATCGGACAGATAGAAGATCTAATACTTATCAAGCCTTCTGGGAAGAGGTAGTGCAAAATAAACTAGGGTAAGGATACTGAGCGAAATGTTCCGGTGATCCCTTCAGTCACCAAGGAAAGATAACTCTGGCATAGTCTTCTAAAGGGTGACGGGGGGAACTGTACTCCACTGCATCCGACAGGGTAAATATTCTCAAAAGGCAGTACAAATCCATAGCTACGGAGTTTGACATTTGTGCCCGGTACTCCGTTTCATTCTGTGTAGGACATCAGGATAGAAAACAAACTAGTAAGTAGAAAACTTCTTTCAGATATTAACTCCCAGTATAGGTAGTAGCCCCAACAATGTGTCGGCAAAAATACTTGAAAGACCTCACCTCGGAAATATCACCATTCCTCGGAAGGATTGTAAATACCTGCCTTTCGAATGGATCACTGCCAGAGGAATGGAAGACAGAACCTGTTCAAGCCGTCTTCAAGAAGGGAGTACGGTAAAGAGACTTTAACTATCGGCCTGTTTCCCTAACATATATTTGTTGAAAGATATTGTGGCCAATGTCATTAATCATCAAGACTAACATATCATCTAGAATGACTGTCAACCTGGGATCTGGGCCAGAAGTTGCTAGATCTAAATTCTCACGCTTTGTCTTGACTTTGTGAGCAACATCCACTCTGGACATCAGAGAGCTTAGACTTTTGATACCTTTTGACCATGTGCCACTCCAGCGTGTGTTTGGTAAGCTAGACATGTTCACGGACAAAGAATTTCTAGAAGACCCGGAATTCAGGGCTTGAATTTCTTTCATCATGGCTAAAGTGAGTTATTTGACAGGGACTTTTTATCTCGGCTGAATTTGTGAACAATCCGCGATCGGTCTTCGCTGAACCAAACAAATAGCTAAAAGGGAGATGCGAGCTGATGCTGGATTTGCAAAAGGAGCTTGACCAACCGCCTGTATGACACAGACGTATCAGAATTCCAACACAAGTCACTGATCTCGGGGGTGCAGCAGAGTCACATAAACTTATTGACTCTGGACACCTTGCTACATATTATCTGACATTTTCCGCTATGATTACGATTAAACTTAGCCAAAAGCACTTGAATTAATTTATTTCGTATTACATTTACCCATATCGTCCTTTGAGAATATCGCTTATTGAATCAAGATGGAATTAATAATTGAAAGACAGAACAACTTCGAAAACATAATAATTATAATGGTCACAAGTGTGCTGCTACTTAAAGAAAAAAGTCAAAGAGAACACCAAAGTTTCAGCAAAACTTTATTTTAAACTCCAAGTCTATAAAACTAAGGCAAAACATGAAAGAAGAAAAGGTCACCAAAGAGACCATTAAAAAATACAAGGAGAATAACACCAGGTGTTTCGAAAGAGTAAGCGTTTTCTGCGTCTTTGAAGCATGGAAGTCACGTAATGTCCTCAAAGCGAGAACCATGATCAGAACAAGACACGCTAATGAGCATAATAAAAAACACCGACCTTTATATCTAACAGAGGAATGATACTAATAATACACAACATTTGATAAAGCGCCCTTTCTATAGCCAACATAAGCCATTCTAAAGCGATTTACAGTATATAACTTATTTCGCAATGAAATGATGTCGACCATTACACTTACCATGGTTTTCATCAGCCTGCGTCTTTGGATACCCTGTGTCATACGTTTGTTATACAGTAGTGAATGATAGATGCAGAAAGCAACAGGTCATGCTTAACTTGATGCTGTCATCTTCAGGCTTGCGTTTAAACGTATGATACAGAATGTGTGATCACTAGAAATGCTAATTAACCCTTTCAACCCTATGTAGCTTTAGTAGACTCTACCATGCATTGATCTGGATGAGTCCATTATGGTCTACAGTGGTGAAAGGGTTAAGGAAGCACTTCATTTCATATATGAAGTTTCTTGTAACATATGTATGTAGATCTACATTTTCAAAATAATTATTAATGAGTTTTAGTTTTTTCCTTTGTTTCTTTTTTGGGAACTATGCCAAGGTACACATCTCACGAAATATATATGAATATAATTAGTATACGAGTACAATTTTACCATTTTCAATGCAATGTTTTCCCAAGTAAACATGTATTAAACAATGAAGTGGACTGTTTTGTATAAAGTGATATTCTAAATTTAATTGCATTATTTTCATGTATAAAAAGTATCATGTCTTTCCTTTTGTAAATTCCATGTACCTAAATATTTCATTCTCCAATTCACCAAACAATTTTTTTTCGGGGGATCCACGAACTTCAAAATAGTGATTCTCAAGGCAGTACATAGAAACAAAATCATTCATTTGCATATGTTGGTTGTCTAAGTCTCCTAATAAAACAACGATCAAATTATTAAACCGGTTCTGAATTCCTTCCGTGACAGCAACCTCGAACTCGAAAAGACGATGAAATGACGTCATGTAGTCGTTATTAATCAGAGCTAGTATACACGTGCTGTTGTTCATAGCCTTAACTATATCTACTGTTTCCTTACCACCACCTATCAAATCCAGTTCTGGTATACATATAGATACGCCCTTATTTTGCATGTACACCTGGAATCTGGAGACAAAATCATTCACTGCCCGAGAGGGCTCTAAAGAAAGATATACTGTGTATTTTATATGTTCATCATTTGCTTCGTCACCTTGAATATTTCTTTTTATGGGAACAATGTGTCTTCTGCCTATACTGAACAGGTAAATGAGACGAGACCTTTTGTAGTAGGCGAGAGCAGGAAGCGAAAGCAGCAAACACAATCCGCAGAACACTGCCACACAAATGATAATAACCTCCCCTGCTATACAGTCAATATCCATCTGTCCTACCATGTCATCCACCCTAGCAAGACTGACAACACTTCCGTTACTGGCTTTACATTTGTAATGTTTCAAGTTCCGGAACACAACTTCAGTGACCATCATCCACCGGAGTTGTTCTAACTGATCACATGTGCATTTCAAGGGATTTCCAGTTAGATCAATTATGAAGTTTGACTGCTTGGCTAAATGATCCATCACATCCATATTGACGCGCGTAAGGTCAGTTATGGTGTTATTTGACAGATTGATCTCTCTTATTCTTTTCAGCGATTCCATTCGAAAAGAAATTGCCGACAAAAAGTTTTTCTGAAGATCAAGTTTTTCAAGAATGATTTGTTTGGCAAAGATTAATTCTGGTAGATCAGTTAATCCATTATCACTCAAATTTAGATATGTTAATTTTGTTTGATTGGAAAATGTGAGAAACTGCGTATCCTGCATGATAGTAATACCGAGTCTGTTCCCATTAAGCAGGAGAGTATGTAAATTAGCCATGTCACCGAGCGTATCCGGAGCTATTCGAAACATTGCATTAAAGGAAATATTTAAAAACCTGAGGGAATGTAAACCTGTCCATTTACCATACCAGGCATGGACCCCATTCGACGATAGATCGAGATATTCTAAAGAATTATTAGAATCAAATGTAACCGGTGGAGCAGATACAGAGCTAAGCTTCAAATTGCTTCCAATAACTTTCTGCACATTGACAGGTAAACGGAGCACATCATCAGTTTGCTGGCTGTTTAAACTTAAAAACTTGTAGAGGTATTTATTTGGCTCTTTTACAACTTGTTGTAAACGTACCACATCTTTCATATTTGTCTTAAAGAAAGGAGCAATAGAAATGTTATAGTTGCTGACTTGTGCTTTCTCCCCACTTTCCTCATTTTTGTTCCTCCTAGTTGAGTATGTTGGAGTCGCTGGTTGAACACGTTTAGATTTTTCCTTTTGTCCTGCTGTTACAGAGTAATCCAACTGGTAGCTCACGTCAAAGACCAGCAGATTGTTGAGGCGAACTAATTTTGTTAGGAAGTGAGCGTCCATTATATAGTTGTGCCGAAATGTCAAAACCTCCAATGACATTGGAAGGAGATCAATAACACCATTTTGTATTCTCGTAATCCTATTGAAATCAAACGTCAGCGTTTTAATTGTTGTTATATTAAAATAAACGAAATGTATTTCTCGGAGCGTCCATATATCGATGTGTCTGTTGATACGATTGAGGCGAAGAACCTGAATATTTGTTAAATGTAATCCAAAGCTTGCGTTTTTCATTCCTCCAAAGCCTATTCTATCATTTTCAGACAAATCTAATTCCGTTAGATGCTTAAGCATTGCGAACGCCCCTGGTGCGATATGGTATATATTACACTGTGCTAGCTTTAACACAGATAATGTAGAATTACTCAAACTGCTGAACGTTATATTGAGAACGTCGAGCAACACACAGGAACTTTCATCATCCCGAACTGACATATCAAGAGAGGTCAAAAATCTTAATTTCCGAAATCCTTCTCCAAATATAACCCTTGTTAATCCGTCCATAGTCAATTCTTCTAAACACTCGAGATCAGAAAGTGCCACATCCGGGTAGTTTTGATCTACTGTCGATTGTTTGATGTTGCCATGGATGTTTAGAACTTTCAGATTTTCAAGATACCGGAATATTCCCGGAGCGTACACATTGGTTGTCATCTTCAGATTATTATAGCTTATATTCAGTGTTAGCAATGATTCCAATCCTTCAAAGCAAGAGTATTCTAACACGGCCAGACGGTTGTGAGATATGTCAAGTGACTGGAGTTTTGACAGGTTTCTGAAGGTACCATTGTGAAGCACTGTAAAGAGATTGTTGGCAATGGAAAGATGTAACGCGGAAGATGGGAAAATGAACTTTGAAGGGATATTTTTCCAATCAAGATTTGAGCAATCCAAAACATCTATGGTCTTTCCTTTGTATGTACATGAGCACGGAACAGGACAGATTTCTTTCTCCCCTTTGATTTCATAGATCAGGAATATGACGAAGAGCAGACGAAAAAAGAAATGACACAGCATGCTTATCGTCCAGTGTGAAGATCATCGATGTTGATTGAGTTGTGAATAACTGAAAAATAAAAATAAACAGTAATTGAACAAAACACAATTTCCGCTCAGTTTTTGATTTACCGTAATAATCAAAATATCAATTACTGTACTCGATGTTACCATACTGTGGTGTAAACTCGGTTTGTTCGTCCCCCAGTAGTGGCCACATTCTTTTACGGACTGTTTCTTTTTAGAGTAGTAGGCTTTGGAATACGACTACAGTTGGGAGCAAAATTATCTAATCTAATGCACTCTGTAGTGCACACGTAGTGAACAAGGAAGTGAACGTGACAAAACACTGAAGTGCACTCCAGTTCACTTCAGTGTTAACTTCAGTGCAAAACGATGTGAACTCTAGTGTACTACAATGTTTACCAAAGTTAAAAAGACTGAAGTACATATTTCAATAATTGTTTATAATGAAATGGGTTTCTTAAATTTGTGATTTGAAATTGAGAGAGAAAGGAAAGAATCATTCAACTGAATAATTCATATTGTTACACCTCAAGTGAATTTCTAGCTATTTGATTGGTTGGGAGAAAATTAAACAAAAATCTCTGTCACCCTCCAAAAATACATTGGTTTTAATGGGCGCGGGTGATATTGCCATGAGACAGTGAAAAATATCACATGCGCATAAAATGTGCGTGCAACGCTTCGTTTTCCCACCGTGATGGTCACAAGAACGTTTGACGGCAACAGCCAATTTCTTCAAGCGCCGGTGCGATAGCGATTGTAAACAGCAGACTGTCAACAAACAAGATGTCATTATCGAGGTTTGCTGCCGTTTCTGAGCTACAAAGACTTTTGGTGTAACAAAATAAATATGACATTCATTAGCAGGTGACAGTGAATATTGTCAACCCTCAAAAACCCATTGTCACCCTCGGCTTCGCCTCGGGTGACAATGGTTTTCTCGGGTTGACAATATTCACTGTCACCTGCTAATGAATGTCATATTTATATAATATCGATACACATAAATAGACATATATATTTATTACTCAAAATTTCAACTGAACATATACATGAACAACGAGAAATTGTACACAATCTCTGGTGAGTATAGAAAATCTATAGATAGCTGTACTATTTCAGAGGAAAACGTTTAAAAGTACACTTCATCATTGTTAAATTCACATCACATTTCATATCAATGTTGTAGTGTCAGGAGATGGGGGATCAGTATCTGTTATGTGATATGTGTAAATGATTTGGAAATTATTCCTATAATTTTATACCTTTTATTAAAGGTTTCTCTATAACACAACATCAATAGAGTAATTCGCTTTTTTGTTTTATACAAACAAGTCAAGAAAAGATAAAAATTCCAGAAAAATCTGATAGCATGGCATGGCACTATATAGATAAAGCTCGATCAAGCCAATATGTGCATTAATTTAAGTTCGTTAACCTCAAGTTGTCAAACGTCTTAAATGAAAATTAAGAAAAAACTATGAGTTGGTCTGATTTTGATTTCTTTGTAATAGATGAATACACGTCAGGTACATGTTGATGGTTGAGTTAGATATGATATCTACCTGAGAAGATATGGGCAATGACCACACACTGACCATTCACCTGTCGTCACATGGGATTCTGATGGGCTTTGCCTACTCTTGAACACCTTGTGTGAAGGCAATTAATCCTGTCAATTAATCCAGCATATTGTTTGTCCAGTAGATACATAGATACATCAGTACACGCTTACAGGTAAGATACTGTGGCTGTCCCTTTGTCAGGAAATGACAGCCTCGGGCACAATTCTATTTCAAAACAGTGATTTTGACTCTATAGTAGTGTTTCACACTATCTTATGCCTTAAATGGTGTACAAACTGGGTGTTACATAGATATTCAACGCTAATTGACAATTAACACACCCCAGCATCAATTAATGGGTCACTGAACCATGATAGAGCCTTGTGTACACGTTCAGTAGTACATAATAGCCACAGGGCACAGGTGTTACATTTAAAGAACTAAAAGGTCATTTAGGACATTAAATTTTGAAAATTTCAAAATAAATCGGGAAGGATTATGAGAAGGTTAAATCAATAAAACAGTGTTAGCAGTTTTTCTGAAAATAAACTGAAATCTGTTCTTGAGGAAAAAAGATCCATGCGCAGTTATCATTTATGGTTAATTCATCTTTTTTTTAAAACATAATTACACACACATATATATATATATAATCTCTACGGTATTCTTTATCTTTAATTGGAAAATAATAAACATTGTTTTTATAGTTTTAGACATTTTTAAAGCTTATTCTGATATTTTAATTTCATGGTAGACACATCTTCATCTTTAAACTTTCCTCCGTCAATATTGACGTTAAATATAATTTCTTACTAGAAGTATGGACTTGGATAGCATCTAATTCTGTACTAGAAAAAACTACACACTTCCTAGAATCTTTTTTCTTTCTTCAGAAATCTAAGTTTACTTAATAACTTTTGGAAAAAAAGAAAGAAAAGTAATGATTGAAGAAACAATGACACCCCCTGCAAATACATATCATTAGTGCATAGGGATGTCTTTAAGGGTAAGGACCCTCCAACTTTCTGATGCCATTTGTAACAATTTTCTGATGCCATTTGTAGTAATTTTCTAATGCCATTTTTAATGCGAGTCCCATTCCAGAATCGGAAATTTGGTAGATATGTTCTAGACATTTGGCACTGTTGTTCTGCTGTTTTTGTTTGATGTTGTTTCGCTTATGTTGTAAATACTAGAAGTTGTAGGATCATTTCTAATATATATATATCATCTCGGTACACGCCACAGAAGAGGCGACTAATTTGGGTACCCCCTGCAGAACCGTGAATTTCCATACTGTGCTTTTTCTTCCATCAGCGGAGGTTGATATCACATTCATATATGTTTAAGTATTGTAGTTCTGTTCTCCTGGCACTTAGACTAGTGAGTCATGCTATTACTAGACATCTTTAAGAGGATTTTAAGGAATCAAATTCGGAAAAGAACTTGCGCACAAGACGTGGGACACGGGCAGGAAAGGGTGCTGTTAGGCGAATACCAAGTGTTATTGGTGTTAAATAAAACGGAACCAGTGGTTGTACCAACGCGGGCCTGAACACTGATAATCGCATCCATTTGGTCACTACAAATGGTCTGTCCGCCTCGCACACTTTCTTGCAGGGCCATACTGCACTTACAGAAGTATCAGGCATCAACATCATTGTGCATTCTCGTAACGATACTTCCACACTGTTTCCGACATCATCAGTATCGTGCGAGAATCTACATGTCATCAAGCCAACAACAGCTGATCACTGTAAGTCAGTTATTCCTATGAATTAAGTGTCCTTAAACTGTCGCTCGGTGAAGAATATGTCATTCTCCATCGGGGATTTTGTAACATCTCAGGACATTGACATTCTTGCATTGGCAGAAACCTGGTTATGTTCAGATATCGATGACCAGGTACTAGCTTAGCTAATACCAGCAGGCTATGTATTCCTCAACAATGCTAGACTTGGCAAACGTGGTGGTGGGGTGGCTGTTCTGTTTAAGAAAGGCTAAGTGTGAGACATCTCTTTTCCAGCCATGATGATGTTAACACACGTTTTGGGCATATGGCTTGTTCTATCATTGCTGGTGATAAACAATTTAGATTGTGTATCATTTACAGGCCTCCTCCATCTAAACAGAATGCTTTTAGAAATACAATGGTTTTTATGAATGGTGTACCTTTTAAGACCACGGGTGACTTAAATTTCCACTTAGACGATCTATCTTATGTTGATGCTTGCCAGTTCTCTGGGCTACAAGATTCCAGGGGTCTGATTCAGCATGTGACAGAAGCTACACACACCCATGACCACATAGTGGATGTGGTCATAACGAGGGAAGATAACTCAGTCATTGATGGAGCAATTCCAGTGATTGATCCATGTCTAAATGATGTAAAGTGGAACCAATCTGGAGACCAGTTTGCTGTCCACGTAACACTGAATTGTAGTAAGCCAGATCGTGCAAGGAAACAGGTTAGATTCCGGAAATTCCGCGAAATTTCAATACCAGATTTCAACAATGACATCCAGTCTTCTTCCTCCCTTCAATCTACTGAAGGCGGGGTTAATGCTCTTGTTGAAGCATACACATCTAGTATAGAAGCCCTTATAGAGAAACACGTGCCTCTACAGACTAAAGTAATAACTGTGAGACCGAATGCCCCGTGGTATAATGGAAAATCTCCGCGTAGAAAAACAGAACCGTAGAAAAGCAGAGAGACAGTGGCGACGGACCAAATTAACCGTTCACCAACAGATTTATAGGGAACAATGTCGGCTAGTTGGTTCACTTCTCATTCAGTCAAAGAAAGTTTATTATTCAGAAAGAATCGAAGAATGTGGCAAGGATTATAGACAGCTTTTAAGACCCACCAAAAACCTAATGGGCCAGAAAGTGAAAAAATCCTACCAAGCTGTAATTCTGGAAAAGACTCATCAAACAAGTTTAGCGATTACTTTCTGAATAAAATCAGCTCAATCCGGAAAAATATTGACGAAGTGAACTCTTCTGCCGACAATGATATCTCTGTCATGACTGCTGACATTGAATTTAATGGGGAACCAATGGCAAAGCTCTCACCAATAACCCAGGACGATTTGCGCAATATCATCATGACCTCGCAATCGAAGTCCTGTGAGCTTGATCCACTGCCTACGGACCTTTAATGCAATGGCATGAAGCACTGCTTCCTTTGCTTACCTCAATCATGAACAAATCATTGGCTGAGTCAAAGGTTCCACTGTGTTTCAAGAAGGCACATGTAAGTCCATTGTTAAAGAAGCCTGGAATGGACAAGGAGGAGTTGAAAAACTACCGCCCAGTTTCGAATCTGCTTTTTCTGTCTAAGATCTTGGAGAAGGTTGTGTCCCGGCGTTTAGAGGTTCATCTCCATGCAAACAGTCTACATGACCACATGCAATCGGCCTACCACATGGGATGCTCTTCTTAGACGGCCCTTTTACGTGTACATAATGACATAGCTTCTGCATTGGATAACAAATGCAGAGCGGTGCTTGTCATGCTGGACTTGTCAGCTACATTTGACGTCATCGACCTTGGCATACTTTATGAAAAACGTCTCCGGAATACTCTTATGGAGTGACTGATACCGCACTATGCTGGATTAAGTCTTATCTGAGTGAAAGACGACAGTGTGTTGCCATCGAATCAACCACCTCACATGACAAAGAACAAGATTTCGGGGTTCCTCAAGGGTCGATGTTAGGACCCCGAAAATATTGCCTGTACCGATTGGAAAGATTTGTCGTCGCCATAGTCTTCGCTATCATTGCTATAATGTTTCAGTTTCAGAAAATCTGGAAGCTTGTCTGACAGAAATCAGTACCTGGATGAACGCCAACATGCTAAAGCTTAATCAGGAAAAGACGGAACTAATCATAACTCCCCAAAGTGTAAGCAAACAATGGCTCTCCAGCTCAAGGTCGGTGCCAGAACTATTGAGACTGTTCCAGCTGTTAAAAACCTAGGGGTATACTTTGATAGTTCACTGAACATGGAAAAACAAGTGAACGCTATTATCAAATCCTGTAACTACCAGATCAGGAACATAGGCTGTATTCGGCAGTTTATATCTGAAGATACATGCAAGATTTTGGTGCATTCACTTGTTACCTCTCGGTTGGATTATGGTAACGCCATGCTCTGTGGTATATCTGACAAACTAACTAGTCGTCTGCACAGGGTCCTGAACACTGCAGCACGGCTGGTTACTCGTACTCAAAAGAGAGAGCACAGCATACCTGTGCTATATCCATTGCACTGGTTACCTGTACGATATAGGTCGCAGTACAAAATGTTGGTATACACATACCAGGCACTGAATGGAACAGCTCCTCAGTATTTACAGAAACATTGTGTGTCCCAAAATCTCGTACTGTGACCAATGGAAACCGGTGCTTTGGGAGGGTTTCGGCCACGTTGTGGAATAGCTTACCATCTGCTTTTAGAAAGTCAAATACCCTGGACAAATTCAAGAGGGACAACAAAACTCACCTCTTCACGTCTGCATTTTAGGGTCTCTGCAAAGACGTCATGTAAATACCACCCTTTATTTGTTCAATTATGTGCACATTGCTTGCTTAAATGTATAAAAGTGATTGTAAGTCTTTGTTTCACAATTATAACTATGTCTATCATCCATATGTTGAAAAATTATTAAATAGGGCGCTATATAAATGTTGTATATTATTATTATTATTATTATTATTAAACATAATTTCTATAGCTAATGTGTATACAGTNCCCCCCCCCCCCCCCCCCCAATTTTGCCTCTTGGTTTCTGATCAGGAGGTAAATGTAATTTGACATCGGACCCTATACCTTGTGTAATACACACACCCTCAGGGCATTTCAACTCTTGCAGTGTCTCCTGTGCTAGCTACAGGTTTCAGACAGTTTAAGTTTATCAAAAGGCACCCTTCCCTCTAATTTCAAATAATTTGTCACTAAAGGACTAGAAAATGAATATCAAAAGGAGACACCCTCCTCTCATATTGTAAATATTGTGTTTAAGGACTATGTTCATAACAGTTGGCAGCCATTTTGGAAGCAATGTTCACATTTCAATATTTTGCTCACACTTCCAACAGAGAGATAAGTTTGGTGACATTGTTCAAACGTAAATAGTGTGATATAAAGTTAATGTATAGTTTATCATAATTAAAAAAACAGATCAAATATAAAATACCTTAACACTCACTTGAAAAAAGTGTCCACTGCTGCGCACACACAGGATTCAAGTGAATATAGAAAGTTGTCCCAAAATAATAATTCAATCCGTTGATTAGGTTGCTAGTCACTATTAGTCTCAGATTTCAATCAAATGCCAAATTAAAGAGGTAATTCCAAAATTCACAAATCGTGGTGAAACACAAAATATCACATTTCTCTGCCATGACAGTTCTTTGAAAGTAGTTATGACACACGGGCACTTTCATATCATGGGTAATCGGGGATTATTGTCCTCAAAATCTGGATATATTTATGTCTGACTTGACAGTTGTGTTGTGCTTTTCACCACGATGCCAAGCCCCATATCATTTCACTGAAGTCACACACATTAAATTTCCATTTAAAACATGTCAAAAGTGTATATTCTCAATTCGCCTGTCCGATACTTACTTCGTTCAATAACACAAAACCAATCGGATGTTGCGATCTGCTTCAGCATCTGAATTTACCGTGAAAGGAAATACAATCACACCTAATCTCGAGATTTGCACATGCGCTGCAACAAAATTTAAATATTGTCATATTGTGTTTCTGGGGCTGAAACATTTGTATTATAGCATATGATTAGTTAAAATTTATTAAGAAATGTATAATTTGTAAACACACGACAAAGTAATGTATTCTGTACGTGTTTTACGCCGCCATCCATCAGGCGTAGTGATCATACTTACAGTGAAAAGACCCAAGATGGATGCGCCCAGTCGAAGGACTCAAACAAGAGAAGTTTAACAACAATTTAATACCTTTTGTCGAGCGATCAGTGCCTTACCATTGTTTTATAGGATTGTGTAAATATCTAATGATTCAATATAAATGCGAAATTTTGCGTCTTTTATGAAATCGAATGTACCAGAACATGAAATTCAAAACTATTTAACATGGTAAATCGACAAGGCTAAATGATAACGACCAACAATTAAGCCCTTGCTGATTTGTTTATTTATTCAAAACGAAGAGCATAATTTTAAAATTTAAGGGTAATCGTGCCTAAAACAGCACCAACAGATACTATTGTCAACCTTGTAGCAAATGTTTGCCCAATGTATAATGATGTAGGTGCGTTCAAAGTGTAGCGAAGAGGATTTCGATTTACAAAGTTCACAAAATATATTTTGTGTCAAATATTTCATAAGAGTTATACAATTTCCTTTTATTAAACAAACAACTTATAAGTAATTGACTTAAACGACGTTTTGGTGATTTTTGAAGGGTCTGTCATTGTGTTTCAACATGGCGGACATTTTATGCAAACATAGCCTTTAACCACAGTCACTTAATTTAGTGTAAGACACGTACGAGGAGCTTTTTTCAAGAGTAGGGGTAGCATAACTACAGTACTAGACATGCATAGCACTCGTGTTTGAAGTATTTTCTGCCCTCTATGTCACACTACTTCCTATATTACAGCTAGATTTACACATAATCAAGAAGATCCACGTATTTCAAAAATATGTTAGGCCACTTCTGAGCTACATGTAACAATATACATGTAAATGATGAACAAAACCAGCTTGTCACTCGCCTTAACGGTTATGTGTTTGTATTATTACTCATCAGCCCCATACACATATAAATATGATTACTTAGTGTGTTTACAAACTACGATCGTCTGCTAAACGAACTGTACTCGGTAGTGAAGTGGACGTAAAACCTGTCCAACAATGTAGACTATAATGAAGTGAAGAAGATGGGATCGGTGTGTGTGTGTGTGACTGTTCGCACACCTATTACATCCATCGACTACTGCCACTAAAATGGGTCAGAGTGGTTGTTTACAATATCACATGCGGAGACAATATCATGTAGCCAAGGATGGAAAGAATGTCATGTAGAAAATTGTCCAACACCTAAACTCGACCCCCTAAACGAACCCTTTTTGAGTGACGTGGTTCATGAATAGTCAGAATTGACCCTTTACCGATTTATCTTGCACCTACCGTGTCAGTCTAATGCGAATTCACAGCCAATACACAGTAATATGTGAGTTGTTGGTGCATGCGTGCCATCGACTGTATAGACTCATATCCACACACGGGGTCACAAAGTTCACGCGTATACACAGCTTCCAGTTCACATTTCATTCGTCGATACGGGACAGCGAAGGATTTGTGCATATATTATATATAAGACAGTTTCCTACTGACATTTCGCTAATCGCATTTCACAAACTAAAAATATGTATCTATTTGATAATGTGTTTTTATGAAACCCAGATATAAAAGAAGGTAATTGCTGCCTAGTTTAGAATTACCAAAATCAGATTTTCATATATCAATTATAAGTTTTTTTTGTAGGTTTATTTTGAAATGTTGAAACTTCGACAGTATTGGAAAATTGGAAAGGAAAATTGGAAATTTAAGGGTAAAATATGTATTTACGTATGAAAAAATCATGAATAATGAGGTTGTGTCTGGGACCATGAATATATTCCAACTTATAGAACTCCCGTGGAGCCCGGGAAGACTTAATGAGGTCACAGGACTACCTTAGACCATCCGGCTCAGTTATGCCAACATACTGTGGTCACAGGACTACCTTAGACCATCCGGCTAAGTTATGCCAACATACTGGGGTCACAGGACTACCTTAGACCATCCGGCTAAGTTATGCCAACATACTGTGGTCACAGGACTATTTTAAGCCACCGGGCAAGGTTACTAAAATTAGATTTGACCTTCATTCTTTATAAATTCTTCTACAATAATGAGGTTTGCAACCTGACATGGCTGTCATGGACCGAAATATTTTACCTGTTTTTTAGGGGTTGTACTTTTGAGTTAATTAGTTGGTTAGTGTGTTTATCGGAGAAGCCTACATTAGGTTTCAGTATTGATTGTGTGAGCTCCATTTAAAATACCTTTACAAAAACGGGAAAAGCAAACAGTAAAAGATAGTATGGACTAATCAAAATAATTCCAATTCAGAAATAACAAATTTGTAGAACAGTAGAATTATGGTATTCATGCAAGATTCGAAGAATAATGCCACAGTAATTGTTCAGATAGCATAAAACTTCAAATCATTATTAATCCTCCAGGTCACTCTGTGTCAGTTAAATGCATAGATAATAGATAAATGCAATTATCATCATAGACATTGAAGAAAAACAGGTTTAAAAATATTGTCGGCATTCTAAAAAAATCAAAAGAAATATTCAAAATTGCGTAGGGTGTCAAAGATAAACGTCACAGAAAAAGTAAAGACATAATTTATAGAGATGCAATTCTGCATTTTCAAAAAACTTGAAAAATGAAAACAGCAATGATTTTTATTTGACCTCTTTTGTATTAACACGTATAAAAAAGTTAAAAGTCAAATAATATTATTACTTCATGAATGCTGTATTATCAATAGTTTTTGAGTTATGGCCGTTTTAAGACTTCTAACGTCATGGCGGCCATATTGTTTTTTTGAAGTGCTTGAAAATGTTGTGGCACCTTTACACCATACCATATAAGATGTCGAAAGATTATTGATATCCATTATATCCTTTAGAAGATATTGTGGGGACAAACCTTTGAGTAGAAAAAGAATAACAAACAGGATCCAACGTTTATACATAATATAGTTTCCTTTACCAAAGGATGTTTTAGACCAAATATGGACAAAACCTTGTCATTCCTAAAGAAGAAGAAGAATTTAAAAGATTTTGCTAAATTGCCCCTTTTGGGCCCCACCCCTAGGAGGTTCAAACCCAACATTTATAAATTAAAATGATTGTTCTTCCCCATAGAATGCTACAGTTCAAATTTGGTCAAAATACCTTCATTCAAACGGAAGAAAAATGATATTAAAGCTATTCCTCTATATCCCTTATTGGGCCCGCCTCTCTGCCATTAGTGGGGTCAGGTAAACCGTTTATACAATATTGGTTCCCCATCAACAAAGGGTGCTTTATACCAAAATTTGACAAAATCCTGTCATTCCTACAGAAGAAGAAGAATTTTGAAGAATTTGCTCTATTTCCCCTATTGGGCCCCGCCCCTCTGCCCCCAGAGGACCACTCACCATTTATACAAAATTGAGTCTCCTTGGGCTAAGGATGCTCCAGACCATATTTAGTCAAAATATACTTGGCCGTTCAGGACTAGTAGTGTTTTAAAGGAAAAGTTGACGGACGGACGGACGACGGACGTTTTACGCTCACCATGAGCTTAAAACATAACAAAAGCAATAGGTCTTTTTACCTGATCGTGAAAAGCCCTAATTATACATCCACGACACCGTATTTGCATAATTACATTTTTTAAGCATATTTCAAAACCTTCCTACAATTGTATGTATTATATACAGTAAAACATTTTGTGTGTGGTATTACATTAACTGATCTCAGATTAACGTGAGGATCATACGATCATACAAACTCATGTGCTCGGCAGATCAAACCTTCTCTGCTACAATGCTACACGTTTGTAAAGTGCTCGTGACTAGACATGGCGTCTTGCAAAGATATTAATTGCAATGGTTTCTGTCTAGCGTGACCAGATTTTTTTGAACCCCATTACCTCACACGGCCTCTACTACGTGTATAAAAGAACTGTCGTGACAGTTTAAATATTTGTACGATTATTGACGCTTAAAGGACCGTCATGTTTCAGCCGCTCACCGGCAACCATTGTTTTGTTCTTGCAATCAAAAACAAATCGAGAACAAATAATGATCACTTGTTGCAGCTCGAGTTCCAGAACGTAATGACCGACTGTGCCGTTTCGTGTGATATGAGGGCAATTTATCTAGTTCTTTGTTCAGAAATAACTTATGAGTCCCCGAGTACTTTATGGACTTACGCCTCACTTCAGACAGGTTCCAGTTTTATTAGAATGGAATTTAAAGGCAGTTTGGACCGACAGCCCCACATTCTAAGATGTTAATATACATATTAGCTAATAGCTTTTAGAGAGGATTAACTTTAGAGAAAGGTGGTTGCTATAGAAACCGGCCTTTTTAACCAGGCCCTATAGTCGCCTTTGTTGACTTTAGTTGTCTTTTAAAATATTGTTTTGTTTCAAAACCATTTCTCCGAGGAGTTCCGAATGATAGATCGAGCCCGATAACATTGAATCATCATCAAATGAAGACTAGCCTACTTTTGAAGTTCAGTTACTACATTTCCTTGCAGGGTGCATCCTCGATAACAAGGGGTTCTGCTCACTTTCGCTCTCTGCACCCCTGGAATATGTCATGGCATAATTGAAGGCTCAGCATGCGCCGTCTTGTGGGGAGACAAGAAGAATAGTTTGATCCTTTGATGTACATCAAAAGAATCCCGCGGTCGCATAACGGTAAACGTCTTTTTAATCCGAGACCAAACAAATAGTTAGCCGCGTGCCTTCAATTTTGCTACGACATATTCCAGGGGTGCAGAGAGCGAAAAT